TTAAAAGATTTTTGAAAATAAAACTTTTTAAATGAAAGTACGGGCATAAATAATTCTAAAAATGTAATTTATGTAGGGAACCCACTGCCCATCAAATGCCAACTGTTCATTTATCTTGGGTAAATATATTCTGGTATATTGTATTATTGTGGCAGATAAATTTAGGTCTTTTTTATTTTAAGATAGTAATTATAATTCATGACATCCTCCCTCATGACATTCCTAGAGATAACAAACATTTATCAAAATCTCTGAGTTAGAAAACGTACTATGCATTCACATGACCTTCTTCATTTGGCCCTTGAAGCAACTTGCTGATAACTCTCCTTAAGAGTTATGAGAATGTTGCAAGTTCTCCCAGCTGTCAAATGGCCCAAGCACAGAAGAACACTCATGTAGACATCTTCAGAGGCTTTTTCTGAAATTTTAATTTTATTTTTGAGGTTATAATATAATGACATCATTTCTTGCTTCCCTTTCCTCCCTCCAAAGGCATATGGATGGCTAGCAATTTCCATTTCATAATTCAATGTGTGTGTCCTTTATCAATGACTTTGGTAAGATTATTTGGATCTGAGAAACAGTGTCAGGTTTCATTTCTTCTTAACCTTTCTAATAGACAGGAAGATTGAATAATATTTGGAATGGTGTCTCACACCAGAGAAAGTTTCAGGCAGACAGAAGCAGTAGCCCTGCCAACTGTGACAGTGTCTGATGTCCCCAGCGAGGAGACGTTGTGACTGGGTTTCACTGACTTGATTACATCTCCCATGGCAGAGACAAACAAGCAAGCCTGATGCTCTAACGTCCTGATTAACTGAGATGACTCATATTGGGTTAACAACCAAGTTCTCTACTCTTCTAACATGCAGATGTGCTGTGCTCACTTGCGGAGAAATGCAATTAAGATATACAGACAGTTCCCTGAGAAGCACAATTTTCAAGTTAGCATCAAGTGTGGGACTTTTTTACTTGAATGAATGCAAGCCCTGTTTTAGATTCACAAAATAATAAATAAATAAATAAAACAAAAAAAATACCTAGAGATGAGACTGAGATGCTGGCATTTTGACTTTCCAAAGTAAAAAATGAAAATATTAAGGGCATATGGCTAATAATTTCCACCTAATGATTCAATTACCAATGAGTTAGTAAACATCATTTGAGTCTGAGAAATAGTGCCAGCTCTTGTTTCTCCATTACCTTCCTAAGAGACAGGAAGACTGAACAATGTCTGAATAAGAAGAACCGAAACACCCAGCACCATCCATGCATTTGCTACCCAATGCTTTCTAGATTCTAGAAAGTTTTTCCCTCCATGTTCCTAAGCACTGGGCTTTGCTCAAATGAGCATGTGTCAAATACCAACAGAGCAGTGTTCCGGGGAGACAGGAACGCATGATCTCTCTTTGTATTTCTCCATCAATTCATTTGTTGAGGATGAAAGGGCCAGGCTTTGACATTTCCCAGCTTGCTATCTATTTAATTTTCCATCTGCTTCTCTGCCACTGCCTTCCAAAGGAACATCTGCGTGTGGCGGGGAGCAGGGAAGGAGGCTGGATCTGTGCCACCTGGGCCTGCCATCTCAGAGCACGGATCCAGTGGGAAGAAAGGAGTGAAGACTAACAAATGGTCCAGGAAAATGAAATGAGAACAAACCGTCTGCTGAGAGCAAAGCTCTGTCCCCTTTGTAGCAGAACAGCACAGCCAGGCAAAGCAGGCAGCGGCATGCACAGGCTGCGAGAGCTACACACAGTGGGCAGCGGGTGACTGCAGGCATCATGAGCACCAGGCTCAGACTCCTGGCCCCCATGTCGTTATGTGGTGCCCTGTCCCTCACACACTCTTTAATCACTTTGGGGGCAGCTGGTGTGGGCCAGGAGCTATTCTGAACACTCAGGAAACAGGGATGAAAAAGATACAATCTTGACACCTACAGATGTGACCCAAGATTACAGTGTAAAATGCCAAATCCTCTTCCCCAAGTAGAGAAAAGATGTTCCAGGAACACAGAGAAGGAAAGGGGCTGTGTGGAAATAAATGATGGTTTCAGGTCAGTAAGGGTTGAGAAGTCTGCGCCCTGAAGTCACCCTGGAAGAATAAACAGGGATATGAGTCTTCTTTCACGTGGAGTAATGATCTCCTGCTGCATCTGTAATTCCATTTACTTCTCGTGGCTGTGTGAAATCCCAGTGTGTGTGTGTATATTGCATCCTCTACACATTCATCTTTCGATGAGCACCTCAACCCGTCCTGTTTTCTGACTATCGTCGATGGTGCAGCCTCGTGTCAGGACTCAGGATCATTTGGGTAGAAGCCCAGGAGTGGTCACAGGTGGTCCTATTTTAAGTCAAATACTGCATTTCTATTGTGTGTGTGTGTGTGTGTGTGTGTGTGTGTGTGTGTGTGTGTGTGTAGACTAGAAAGGGAACCGTGGAGGAGAGAAGGTGGAAAAGAGAGGATAATAGAATTCTATGTGACATAAAATCAGAAAGGAGGGTACTGGGGGGGGGGGATAGCAGGAGACGAAGTCTGAAAATGCCATCATGAAATGAATGACTTTGTATGCTAACAAAAAATAGTTTAAAATATTTTTAAAGAAGAAAAGTTATTTATTCTCCTCATACCTATGAGCAGCACTTGACAGCAAACCCCTAGGAACTGATTAAAAACTCGTAGTCTCCCAAAGCCTCGTCTCTCTTCCCATCCTTCCATCTTCTTCAACGTCAAGCTCTCAACATTCCTGTTCAGTATTCTCTCCCAGCTGGGCAGAGCATTTCATCAACGTTATCACCAACCCTCCAGAATGCCTAGAAGAGTGAGCATAAGATAACACCTGTGTTGCTATGGGGGAACCAAGACAGAAGAAACCAGGCTGATTTTAATTTTCCTTGAATGTCTCACTTCATGGTCAGCTTTAGACAGGACATCCATATTGCACTGTCTGCCCAAGGGTCAGGGAACACCCTGGAAGATGGGCAGAAAGACTGTAAGGACTGAGGAGTAGGGAGAATGTCTCTGTAGCTTTATCTTCTCAGCACAGCATGGCCATTGCGTTCACGATTCATCACCACTGCACGTGCCTGCATGACCCAGTGTGTCCGCATTCTGCTTGGTGGGGGAGGAGCATGCAAGGCCCCCATCCCTAGCGGAAGAGACAAATGTTAGCAGTGAAAGTTTGGTAGAGGAGAGGGAGTCACTTTTCTTCAGAGGGCACAGCCGCTGGCACGTTGACCATGATTCAACAAAAACCCCATACCTCTGCACACAAAAGCCAGCTTCAGTTAAACTCAATGGGGTGTTTTAAAGGCACAAGAGTAGGAAGCAGATTCATTGGTCCAAATGGCGTGTCCGGCAGATAAGTGAGGGAAGTTGGAACTGACAAAGATGCATCATAGCTGTATCAAATTATCAAATAAAATTATTTTTAAATTATCTAAGTTCGCTAAAGTCTTTACATATAGAAACACAATATCAACATAATAAAATGTTTAGGATAGACATTTATCTGTAAAACAAGGCACTTAAATATCAAATGAATATTTAACTTGGTCATATACATTTACGAATATGTATACGTAATGTGTCATTCCATGTATCTGCAAAGTCATCATCAAAAAGGCAATGGAAGAATCCCCTTTCTAGTCTGACATAATAGTAACAAATATTTACCATTGAAATGGGAAAAACCTAAAGCCAACACTGTAGTCATTGCTCACTGAGTGCATTGTCTGCTCGCTGTTCAACGCCATCTACAAGCGGGCCCAGGAGTTACCCTCCTGTTTGGGATTAGTCATAGTTTATCCTGCAATGCAGATGAGCTGGCAAAATCTCTGGCTGTGCAATTGCGCCTTGTGTTCATCTTAATAAATTTCATTTTTAAAACGTGTTGGTAAAATGGGGACAACTGCAGGGTAAGGATGAAACACAGCCTTTGTTCTGTCAACACACTCAGGCTCGATAAAAGCTGTCTTTGGTTGAAAAGAAAATACTGAGAAATAATTCTGGGAAGCTTTGGCTGCCAGAAATTATTAACCTCTGAGATCAAGCAAGGGATTTTGTGTGTTTTAACTCGGTTCAATTTAATCGAAGGTTCTTATATCTACCATAAGCATGGGACTTTGTATTTTATGGTTAATATTTTTAAGTAAAGTTTAAGGACAGTTTTGAATTCTTAGGTAAAGTTGCTAGGCTTGTGGATAAGAAAATTTCCTGGGTTTTCAACTCTAAGGAATGAACTTTTCTAAAGGCAGATGACTGAAAATTTTGCTAAATAAAATTTTCTATGATGTTATTCTGTGGACGGGGGGAAAAAAACTCTATCAGAAGGATACCGGCAAATACTTTACAATTTAGAATTGATAGAAGCCCAGAGTTTCTTAGTTTGCAGAGTGTGCCAGGGTTACTCAGCCTGATTTGCACGTGAGAAGAGTGAGGTCCCCGAAGGTTAGCTCTATTTCACCTGCTTTGATTTGCAGCTGCGGCTTCTCGTTTCCCAGAATGCCATGGCTCATTCATGATGGCTTCTCAGCGCTGTCATTTCCTCTGGGTCTGTATTTACCATCATGGAAATACCATTTTGTCGAGGGATAGAAGCAAGTAAATCTTTTCATTGATTGAACTGAGCACCACCCTTCTTGCCGAGTCAGTCACTTCTATGTCACAGTGACCGAACTGTCTGACATAGACGATGAAAGGGGGGATTTATTTTGGCTCATGACAGAGAAGGGAAGACAGTCATGAAGCAAGTCCACGGCACAGTGAGTGTCTAACAGAAGCTTCACGTGCCATAGTTGCACTTGCAAAGAGAACTGATATAGTAGAGTCCATAATCAAAGTCATTCTCTGGACAGTGGACTGAATCCTACCACACAACACCTCTTTTCTCTCTCTGCTCCGCTTCCAAGCATTAGTCTCAAAGTGGATACTTGGAAAAAGAATCTGTTCCTGAGCGTTTATCGCTACTGAATTTCTAATTACGTTCATTTTGTAACCCATAGGACTACCAAGAAGCCTCCAACTTGGAACAATTTGTCACTCGGTTTTTGCTGAAGGAGACCTTAAACCAGCTGCAGTCTCTCCAGAACTCTCTGGAATGTGCCATGGAAACAACTGAGGAGCAAACCCGTCAAGAAAGGCAACTGGTGTTTTCTTTACCTCTGATTATGCTGTACTTCATTATTATTCTCTCACCTGTCATGTCTTGACTGCAGCCTCCCCTCCCTTCACTCCTCCCAGTAATCCTCCCCTTTCCCAAATTCACTCCTCTTTTCTCTTCAAAAATAAGAATAAAAAAGAGCAGGTCTCCCATGGATATCAGCTAAACATAGCATAGCAAGACACAATAAGGATAGGAACAAACCCTCGTATCAAAGCTGGACAAGGCAACCCAAGAGCAGGCAAAGAAGTCAGAGACATCCCCACACCCACTGTCAGGAGTCCCACAACAGCACCACGCTACACAACCATGACACACGCAGAGGTCCTAGTGCAGACCTGTGCAAGCTCCCTCATTGTCTCTTCAGCCTCCGTGCGTCCCCTCTGAGACCTGCTTAGCTGCTTCTGTGAACCATGTTCGCAATAACCTCTGTCGTCCCCGTCTTCTGCATGATTAGCCTGGCTCCACCTAGTGTTTGGATGCTGTACTTCTGGTGAGGCAGTCGAGGGTTAGTCTGCTTATTCTAGAGAAAGCTAATCACATGAACTAACAGGTTTTAGAGCAATGCCAGGGACCTCTCTAGCTTTGGAAAAAAAATCACTTTTTATTATGTTGTCAACAAATGTGAATTTAGAATTTAGTAAACAGAGATTTTAAAAGGCAATATAGATGATATTAATATATATTTAACAAAATATTGCCCCTGAAGGGGCTAAAGCCTATTACATACATAAAACATGGTTACTAAAACTAAACTGTGAAGCACAACAAGATAAATGCAGAGAAAGGAAAATAACTTGTCAATGAGTTTCTGAACAGTGAAATATTAAATATGGCAGAGTGGAATTTAAAGCCATGGTCTGGCCTTCAAAATCAGTATAACCTGAAAATAGGGTACTGATAAGAAAGGCCTTACTAGATCAATTGATCTTGGTTATGTTGGAATGACTGGGCATTAATTAAACAGGTTGGATTATTTTTAAGATACAGAATAGTGAACAATTTAAAAGCTGATGCTACCAGTTTGCACCACTAATAAGAAAATTAACAACATGGTGAAGATAGTAATGCTGACAAGGAGCCTGTCCTATGAAGTGGTGTCAGAATAATTCAAGCCATTGGGTTTGTTACTGAATTAACATTGTGGGTGCCTTGCAAAATGAACGAGGGCAAACTCCCGTTCTTCTGACATACCTTGGTCAACACATAACTTTAAGCCTCTCAATATGACTTCTCTAACATGCACATCTTGGGACCGTGCAGTAAAGTTTTAGAACTAGGTGGTAATAACTCATGCTGTAAGACCAATTCTTCTAAGCAAATTAATGGGTATATGATTATCAAGACATCTCCATAGTATCAATGGATGAATGAGCACTGCCAAGGTCCAGCAAAAGAAAGCCTATAACTTTGTTTCAGGAGGCTGGCCATGGGTTCTTTCCAGCCACCCAGCTAGCTTAGCCCCGAAATAACCACACAGAAACTGTATTAATTACATCACTGCTCGGCCTATTAGCTCTAGCTTCTTATTGGCTAACTCTTACATCTTAATTTAACTCATTTCTATTCATCTATATATCACCACGAGGTTGTGGCCTACCAGCAAAGTTCTGGCATGTCTGACTCTGACAGCTCCATAGTGTCTCTCTGACTCTGCCCTTCTTTCTCCCAGCATTCAGTTCTGTCTCCCCTGCCTACCTAAGTTCTGCCCTATGAACAGGCAAAGGCAATTTCTTTATTCACTAATGGTAATCACAGAACACAGAGGGGACTCCCGCATCATAACTTCGGAATACAGTGAGCTGTGCCAAAGGTTGAAAGACTTGGGGTGCCGCAGATAAATATTGGAATGCATCCTTCGCTGGGTCTCTCTTCACACTCACGCTTTCTTCTCACTGTGCTGAGTGATTCCACACCAAATAGCAAAAGCATAGAAATTCACTTCAGGAAGTCAGCACACCACCTCCTCCAGTGCAAGAAGAAAAAGGAATGTACTAAGACACAATAAAGCTGATCCCATGTTCTTGGTGAGAAAATGACGATCCTTATTGTTTCTTTGGTTGGTTTGGATCGTGTGAATTCAAAGTCATTCCTCTTAGAACCAATCATTTTCCACCTGAAGAGACTTAGAAAGGCCTCGGCACAGCCTCTTCGCCTCCATTCTTTGGGTTCTATTCCCACCCCCTCTTATAGTTATTGCCTACAAACACAGGGCACACATAGCAACACACACAGCAAATGTTTAACGAACAATTGTGTGGTTTTAGGCTTGCTTTCAACTTGTGCTTGCAACCAGAAGTTGCAAAGCAGCTGTGTTTAATGAGACGGAACAAAGTAATTCAGAGTTTAAGAAAAAATAGGAAACAGCAAAGATTAATGCACCTTTTACTTCTAGATTTACAGCGCCCAAAACGGCTTGAATAATGGGAACTACCACGGGTCTTTTGTTGTTGTGAGAAGGCTGTGATATGGAATGTGACTAAACCATACTCTCGGGGGTTTCTGAATACATTAATTTTTAAAATAAGTAGAAAATTACACCACTATGGGCTTGTGTCCACTATACCCCTTTTATGAAGTTTCTGGTGACTCAGAAGGAAGCATTCATTAGCCCTAACCTGGAAAATTGCATCTCCTTTCCTACCTGTTGCTACAAAGGCCAGCATGAACAGAGACCGCCCCCCCCCAGGACCAGTGACTGACAGTAAGACAATGGCTGTCCTGTTCCAAAATATCAATCAAAACAGCCTTGGGAAAGCTTCCTAGGTTGAGCATCCTTGAACTGGATCATTGGAAAGACTTCAAGAGGCAGGTTGATATTCTCTCCTGTGCTCTGACCCACCCCAAGCTAGATAACCTGTCATCTGGCTAGCTTTTTTAAGTTTGTTTTCTCCCTCCACAATTCTCTTTCCATAAAGCCTCATGCTGAACAGGCTCTCCCATCTCCACATCCCATACCAAGCACTCTAGTTGTGCCGCGTTTTCTCACTTAACTCAGCCTTGTACATCCTCATCCTCTCCGTCCACCTTTGCATTTCTCCCACCTACAGGGTGAGTGAGTGGGAACTGAATGAATGAGAGCGAGCCTTGGAGAAGAGAAGCATGTTAGGGACAGCGAGGAGGACAATCCATGTGCTAGCTGGAAGATCTGAAAAGCTAGACAAGTGCATTATAAGTTAATTCTATAATAGTTTGCTGTTAGCGATTACAACAGAGCAATCTAAAGAAACCACAGAGAGGAAAATTCATCTTGCAACTGTGTATAGTACATATTTGATGAAGAGAAGAAAAGAGTGAGGAGAAGCAAAAAAAAATTATAAAACTCCTCAGTTTTTAATATCACAAATGAGGGTTCCATGATGCTTTACAAAGTCAAGGGTTGGATGCTTCATTTTCATTAACATTCCCTGGGTCATAACAACTCTCTTCCCCTTCAGCATCAACATTACTTTAGGATTTAATAGTCGTGAAACCAAGGGACACAGACTGGTTGGGAAGGAGGAAATCCAGAGAGAACATCTCCTCCCGGCAGCCCCAGGCAGAATCACAGAGCCTCGCTCACTCTGCAATAATGAGTCAGATGTGCTGGGCTGGGCATAATGTCTGTGCCCATTCATGTGAAAATGGCAGTTTCAGAAAAGGGGATCTGCACAGCTGGAATGTCACAGAGGTGAGATCCTCAGATGGTATTTCATGCCATCTTTGTGTCTGCTCTGGCTAACTGGCTAAGTGGGTGTCACTTTAATTCCCTGCCTGTTGAAAGAACCTAATAGCCAGTGGCAAGAATAATCACTATGTGATGTGGAAGCTCCCCTCAAGGGGACCCCTGTTCTGAGGCATAAACCCTCCTCTTCACGAGCTGCATTGCCAGAACACAGCTCAATTACACGTGGATTTCCTTAGTGTAATGGAATCTCTAAGTTTGAACTGTTTCTCAAATTTCTTCTATAGGCAGGGATACAAATGAGTCCCCCTGGGTTTGGAACTCATTCTTTTGCCTTTTGAAAGTTGTCTGTTATAGAAGAAAGAAAAGGCTTTAATTTCACTGACAAGTGATTACAAATCCTCTCGTGGCTTGTGATTGCCTGTGTCACCAAAGCACGGGGCTCCTGCTGTGTGGCGATCCTTAGGGGAAACAGGGCTTACACTGTGTGGAGATCCATAGGGGAAATTCAAGACTAGATGTATGTGAATTTTGGAGACTAGATATATGTGAATTTTTGTTTTTGTTGTTCTTTGCCTAAACTTTTAAAATTGACATTAAAAATGCCTGGATAGGGGCTGGAGAGATGGCTCAGAGGATAAGAGCACTGGCTGCTCTTACAAAGGTTCTGAGTTCAATTCCCAGCAACCACATGGTGGCTCACAACCATCTGTAATGAGATCTGGTGCCCTCTTCTGGCCCACAGGGATACATGCCGGCAAAATATTGTATATATAATAAATAAATAAATAAATCTTTTTTTAAAAAAAATGCCTGGATAAAATAGCCATTAACACAGAAACAGTAAAAAAGAAAGAGCGTGCCCCAAACTAGAAACTGGAAATCTGAAAAGAATGCCGAGTGATTTCAATGCTCCAGGGAAGCAGCTCACACAGGCTGTGCGAGAGGAAGATGTGTTCACAGCAATGAGCCCGAAGAACGGTGGAGTGCTAAAGAATTGTAGGAGCCGTGTGGAACTGACGGTGGGGTCAAAAGGAGCCTGGTGCGTTGTGGAAATCCCCACCATGGACTTTCAGGGTCTGACTCTTCCCAGTCTGGAGAATCTTAGAAGTACAATGGGGGCAGGGCACAAAGCTGAAGATGAGACGCCAGACAGAGACCTTCATCCTGACCCGCTCATCCGAGACCCCTTTCGTGTCCAGTGTTTCCAGATTACTGACCTCAGGGCTCGAAGTGTCCATTACGGGACACTGGAGTGAAAGATCTGGTTAACCTCAGAGAGAGTCCTCGTCAAACCTAAGAATAGGCTTAAGGA